AGCGGGGCAGGCAGTACACGAAGGCGTAGTTCAGGACGTAGCGCTTCAGCTCCTCGGTGGGGAAGCCGTCGGCGTGCCTCCAGGCGCAGCGCAGGGCCTGGCGCCAGGTGCTCATCTCCGGCGTGCGCAGCTGGCCGATGTAGGGCACCGCCTCCGTGGCGTCCTCCGGGTTGCTGGTCCAGGGGCAGAACAGGAGCAGGATCTTCATGATGTGCTCCTCCTCGCTGCGGCTGCCGAGCGCGCCGTACAGCACCGGCACGCGGGGTCGCTTGCGTGGAATGATCCCCCAGTCGTGGCGATGCCTCTGAGCTGAGCTGCCTTTGCCCAGCGGCATCCAGTCCTCGCCGCCTTCCTCCCGGATCAGGTAGTCGTCGCCGCTGTCCAGTGCGTTCTTGCCCTTGTTTTCGCTCAGCTTTGTCGTGCCGCTTTCCGTCAGCAGGGCGTGGAAGGGGACGTCCGTCGCTCCGCGGGCCAGGGCGTCCGTGGCGCGCTCTTGTCTTTCCACCGTCCACGGGTGGCGGGCAAGCTGGATTTGGTAGTAGCGCGCAAACTCGAAGGCCGAGAGGGGCCGGACGCGCGGATCGTTTCCACGGTTCCCGTAGACGGTCCACAGCTGCGGCCGGGCGACGACCTTTCTTTTGCCCTGCGTGTTTGAATTCCTGTGAAGGTCGCTTTGAAGTTGTTCTCGCTCTTGCCAGGGTCGGTTCTCCATGGCATTTCGCAAGAGCTCCATCCCGGTCTTGAGGGACATCTCCGTGACCTGGGCGGTCTTGATGGTTTCCGCCGCCGTGGGGTCGTTGCTGCCGGCGTTGTCGATCAGGTTCGCGCACTCCACGGAGCCGCGGACGACGCCGCGGGCGAAGGCGTCGGTCATGAGGCGCTTCGAGACTCGGGCGCCCACGTAGCCGCTGGAGGGGTTGTTCTGCAGCTCCGCTTGCAGATCGTTCTGGCTCTTCTTCCACTCCTGGACTTCGTTGACGGCGATGGGATTGCGCTTGTTGCTGTAGTCGCAGGCGTAGCCCGCCTGCGCGGCCTGGTTCACCTGGGCCTGCTGGGTCATTTCGCGCAGGCTGGCTTGGGCCGGGCAGTCCTTGTCGCAGTGTCCGGACAAGGCGTGGAGGTCCTCCGTGATCGGGAAGCGATAGGGCACCTGCACGTCGCCGTTGCAGCGGAGGGCGGCCAGCAAGGCGGGGTGGTTGCCGTTGAGGTTCGGGTCGTTGCAGGGCCCCCACAGGCGACCGAGAGCGCTGCGCTTGCCCTTCACGGGCATGCCCATCTCCTCTGCCAGGCCTTGGCACACCAGCGTCGTCGTGTCGGTCAATTGCATCTCGCGCGGGAAGCCCGACTTGCACTTGGTGGGGTCCTTCTTGTCGCGGCAGTGATCCAGCGGCAGACGCGGGCCGCCCGGTTTCTTGGGCAGGTGCACGTGGTGCTGCTTCAGCTGCTGCAGGGCTTCCACGTCCTCGTCCAGGAAAAGCCGCCGCCAGGTTGTATCGTCCATGGACGCGTCGGCCTTCTGGTAGTCCGGGCGGCTCAGGGCCAGGAGGGAGTCGCGGTAGGCGGGCCACTTCTCCTCCGTTTCCTGGCGCTTGTTTTCCCATTCTTCTGGATCCCGGTAGATGGTGCGGCTGACGTGGGCGGTGTACGTGCAGTACTTCTGGAAGAGGTCCATCTTGTGCTCCGGGTTCAGCGCGAGCAGCTCCGAGAGGGATTTGAACTGGTGGAAGCACTGGAGGAAGAGCTGCGGGCAGGGCAAGCATGCGGCCGTGGTTTCGGTGTCGTGTCTCGTTTTGTGCCTCGATGAATCTAGAGATTGCTGGTTCTCTCGCTTTTCGTGCGTGCGTGTGTGTTTGTTGTGCGTTGCTGGTCTATAGTTGTTGTCTGAGGAGAGCGGGCCTGAAAGTGGATGTGCAGCACTCCGGACTTCTGGCACTCGATGGAGCCGTAGGCGGCGTCGAGTCGGCCGAAGATGCCCCGCACGCCATGGCGTTGCTGCCGAACGCGTCCGTGCAGGGATTGTCGGAATTCCCGCAGTCGGGGCACTTCGGGCAGTAGCGGACGCCGAAGAGGTGCCGGAGCGCCAGCTGCACCAGGACGCGGAAGCCGTCCGCGCAGGCCACGGGGTCTTTGGTCAGCATGGCTCGCCGCTCGTCGTAGGGCGGCAGCTCCGCGGCGAGTGCTTCCGGGTTCAGGCTGCAAAACTCCACGTCCAGCTCGGGCTTGCCGCGGCTCTGTGCGGCACGGTTGGTCTGGGACTCCTGGCTGAGGCTGGGGTCGGATTGCCGGGCGCGGGCCAGGCGCAGCATCACCGTGTTGTCTCGCTCGGACGGGGAGAAGGTCACGAAGAGCGGGGTGCCGTGGCAGACCCGATTGGCGTGGGTTTGGTGGCGCATGGTCGCGCGCACCTCGTGGGTGCCGGGGGTGTTCCGGCTGCGCGCCACCGTGTTGTCCAAGACCTGCGGCTTTTTCTGGCTTTCGTTACATCATTATAAGGGTTCCGAGCCTACGTATGCAAGTTTTTTCCCCGGTTGTACTATAGTCTTTACCTGCAGCTTCTGTTGGTGTCGTCGGTTGACAAGCTGGGCTCTGGCAGTGGTTTTCCTGTTTTGCGCGCCTTCACGGCTGCCGGCTGCAGTCCGGTGGCGAAGCGCACCTTGCTCAGGTCTCCGTTGATGGCCTTCGTCTGGCCGTTGACGTCGAGGTACTTCCCTTTGACCAGCTCTTTCTGGATTTGCTTGCCGCCGTCCAGGATCTCTTGGCTGGTCAGTGCTCTGCGTCCGTTGTTGTCGTCGGGGACGCTGTAGATGAAGGTGTTCTGCTGCAGGTTCACCATGGTCCTGAAGAGGTAGTTCCAGAGGGTGAAGCCGAAGGTCCAGTCCCGCCGGAATTGGGTCTCGGCTCGGCGTTGCATGGCCGCCGCCCACGCGTGGATTTCCACTTGGGGGGCGTCGGGGTTCCTGCTCCTCCGCCGTTGCTGCCGGTCGTTGCGGGCTCCCTGCTGGTTATTCTTGACGTCGGGACAGGCGGTGCCGTGCGCGAAGCAGAAGCTGAAGGCCGTGGCGAAGTAGAGCGGCTGGAACTGGTCCACGAGCATGTTGCTCGTGCGCACCTCGTAGGTCTCCAGGATCTTCTCGTTCTTCTGCTTGCTTCGGAGCTGGTCCTCGAGGTCGTTCAGGGCGGCCGTGGCCACGGCGGTCTGGTCCTCTCGGTCTTGGTTGCAGCCTTCCGGAAGAACGGCGCGGGCGCGCTGGTTGGCGAAGATGGTGCCGGCTTGCTGCACGTCTTGTTCCGGGGCGTCCGTGGGGGCCGCCGCCTTCTGCGGCTGCAGTTTGTGGCTGGTCTCGTCCTCTTCTCTCATGCCGTGGATGACCTTCAGCACCTCCGGGGGCACGCCGCCCTCCGGCAGCTGTGCCGCGGCCTCGCGCACGGCTTCTTGTCGCAGGTGCTGAAAGGCGGGGTGGCCCAGGCGTTGCATGTCCAGGATGAGGTTGACGACCACTTCCCTCCGCACCGTCGCTTGGTGGAGCAGGGTTTTGATTTCTGACTCGCTGGTCTTGCCTGTTTTGTTGGTCTTCAGGAGGACCCTCACCACGTCGCCGAGTGCCGCCCCTGCGCGTGGTATGTTCGTTGGGGGCGGCTCTTCGTTTGCCGCTGCCGCTCGCTGCGTTTCCGCCACTCCTTCCTCGTGCGCTTGGAGGTTGCGCAGCACGTCTTCCCATGGCAGCGGGAAGGTGAGGGCGTTGCCCCGGGCTCCGAGGCGGTGGTTGGCGTTCTGGGCTTGCTCGTCTAGGGTGGTTCCCTCGCTGCGGTGCCGTGCTTCCATGGCCATGCAGACCAGCGTGGTGACGCAGGGGCTGGCACAGATCATCTCCATGACGGTGACCTTCTCTTCGTGTAGGCGTGCTGGCGAGTAGCCGGTCCACATGTCGTTGCACAGGCTCAGGGGCGGCAGCCGGCCCTTTCGCAGCTGCTCGTCGCACTCGCTGCAAAGGGGCACTTCGCAGTGCTCGCAGAGTGTGCGCTGGCTGGGGTGCTCGGGGCGGGCTTGGCATCGATGGTCCTCCGGGCAGCACAGGATGTTGCCGAATCCGGGGATGGTCACCGTCCAGTCGTCGAAGTTGGCCACGTCTGTGAGCTTTGCGTCGCCGGCCAGGTCGTCGTAGTAGTCGAGGTATTTGTCGATGCTCAGCAGCTCGTGCAGTTTTGCAGTGGTCTCGGCGTGGTTGTCGTCGTTGCTGCCGGGGCTCTGGATGAGTTTGCGCCAGCTGATGCGGCTGCTGGCCGCCATGTCGGCTGTGCGCGGGTGAATGCAGGCGCAGCTGAAGCAAATGAGCGATTCCACGTTGTCCTTGCTGGTGGCCTCGGCGAAGCTGCGCAGCGCGCTTCTGTCCCGAGAGCTTCCCGCGACGGGCGCGGCCTCTCTGCATCGAAGTGCGACGGCCTCGTCGTAGACGCTGGTCAGGGCGTCTTTCGGCAGGGGCCTGGGCATGTGCTGGGCCACCAACTCCAGCTCCGGTGCGTGAGAGTCCTTGACATGCTCGTGGAGCTTTTCTTCCGTCCCAGAGAATAACGACCATTTGCATCCCTGGAATGCGCAGAAGACCTGCGGCCAGGCTTCGCCCTGGTCCACGTTCTCGGCTTTGGCTTCGGGTGGTATCAGTGGCTGGGCTCGCAGGTGGGTGCTTGCGAAGTGCTTGAGCGCATTTTCCAGCTTTCGTCTGGGGTGGTAGTGGGTGGGCTCCGTTGACTCCGTTGCAACGGGCATGCTGGTCAGCTCTTCGAGGAGGCTGGGTCCTTCCTCTGCTGCTTGGGGGGGTGCCGCCTCTGGGTTCTCTGTGGCTCCTTGCGCCTGACCTTGCCGGGTGCGCTGAGCTTGGCCGGCTGCGGTTCTCTGGCGCTTGGGCGGGCGCGGCTCTGGGTGGGGTGGTGGTGGTGCTGCTGCTGCTGGTGGTGTTGGTGGTGGTGTTGGTGGAGTTGGTGGTGGTGGTAGTGGTGGTGGCGTCTGGTCAATGGGCACGAGCACATCGTAGTGGTCCTTCCCGTTGAACCAGAGGTGGATTGCGTGATAATAGACGTTCGGTACTGCGTGGGGGTGCCGTCGGGCCTCTTCGCGCACTTCCACATGCGTGCGCTCGCTCGTGCAGATCTCGCCGTCCGACGCCCGGCAGTGCAGGAACGCTTGCTGCTGTCTCATGAGGGTGAAGGCGACGATGGCCGTGTCGCCGCCCCAGTTACTCGGGTTGCTTTCGAGGTGTTCGGCTTCCTCCAACCAGGCTTCCACTTGCTCTTCGTGCTCTTGGGACGCCGCGTTCTCCTTCAGGTACTGGATGATCTGGGAGCGCAGGTGGACCCCGTTCTCGCCGCTTTTCTCCGCGAGCGCGTGGAAGATGCAGTTGCCGTCGCCCGTCATCTTCTTCATGGTCAGCATGCCCCGAAAGTGCTCCTGTCAGGTGTAGAGCCGTCGCTAGAATGGACCTTCTTACATCATAATGGAGCCCCGAGCGATGAAACTGGCCTCGATGCTGGGGCCGGGCTCCGATTCGTGGTCGGAATCCGGCCCGGCGCCTCCTCGTCGCGCAGTCGGTTCTGCACGAAGTCGTCCAGCGGTGCTTCTTGCAAGCGTTGCTGGATGGTTGTTGTCGCTTGCAGTCGCGGTGGCGGTTGTTCTTTCGGCCTGCACAGCGGCACACGGTTCGAGAGAAGGGGTGCGTGCATGCGGTTTCGAACTCGCGCGCTGCTATAAGGTCACCCGAGTCGGGGGTCAAATCATCTCTTTACGTGACATTAAGTTCTTGGCGTCGAAGCATGCGGCTATGTGTGTAGATATATATGCTTCTGGCTATCCGAAGAATAGAACCTAATTTGTTGCAGAGCAAGCCGACGGCGGGCCTGCCTCGATGCTGGGCCCGCTTTGTTCCGTGGCGTTCGCATTGGCGCCGCCCCGTCGTGCTGCAGCGCCGCGATGTCCATGAGGAGGGCCCACCGCGGCATCTGAATCGGATTGCTCCGACAAAGCTTTTGCGGTGACCCTTTCCGCCTGCAGCCGCATTGATCGAGGAGCTGCGCGGCTGAATTAGGCTGCGTGCCGCGCCTCTGCCATTTGGAAAGCGTCTTCGAGTGCGGAATCGTCCTCGGCCGTCCACTTTGTTGGCTTCGGTGGTCTCGGCGCGGGAGCCTGCAGACTGATTAATGCACAGTCTCTGCGTCTCCCAAGCGTTCTTTTCAACCCTCAAGGCAGTGCCTTTTTGCGTCGGTGCGCCCGTTGCTGTCCACTTTGGCCACTGGCCGACCTTCGTGTCCGGGATGTCGTCGGATGCGTCTTCCATGCCTCGGTGCGGGCACATTGCGGTGGAGGCTGCTCGAGGGTTCCAAAGTGAGTCCGCTAGCCATCGCTGCCGTCGAAAGCTTGGCGTGGAGCCTCGTCGATTTTGATCATTCCGGCCTCGCTGGGTTTCCCACAGAAGCAACGGGATTCATAGGACGGCAGGTGCTTGCATTACTGTGGTCGAATGCAGTTCTGGGGCGGTGGCTGGCGTCTTCAGCGTCAAGGAACACTGCGTTGCCAGGTATTGCCTCTTGAACGCCTCGAAGTTGAAACACCATCCGGTCCCCTGCGCGCGCCAAGATCCGGCCGTCTGTCTGCCTTCGTCTCTGCCTTTTTGTTCACTCTCTCTCCCTCTCTCTCTCTCCCTCGGTAAACAGGAAGATAGGGACTGAGTGCGAGAGAGTCTGTATGCCTTGACTGCTAGCTTCCTGCATGCCACCTGTTCCTCCTCGTCCTCGACATCGGCCCATCGGCGGCGGTTGCTCGGGTACATTTCCGTTTGACCTGCAGGGCCGGCGGAGAAGGTTCTGCTGCCATTCCTTCCCGCTTACTGTCGGAAGCGGCTTCGGCCTGGATAGTCGCCGAAAGGTGCGGAACTTCTGCTCTTGATGCTCTTGAGCGCGAATTGGGCTGCGGTGCCAAGCTAGTGCTACTAGTGTGCTCTCATTGCAGGCATGATGGCAGTGACGTTGGCTTGCAGCTGGTTCCAAGCAATTTTTCCGCTCGCTCCTTGCCGTCCCGTCCCAATCACTTCCACCTATTTCAATGGGCCGGGGCTGTCTCGAACAAGGCAGCGGTCTTCTTGTCCAGACCGTCCAACTCAAGCCAGCCAAGATCCGATGCCGTCCCATACTTTTTCCAGGTGGCTTGCGAATCCGTAGACAGGCAGGGGCTTGTTGATGCCGCGAAGGACGGAGTCGCCGCACATGGCATAGTGCAGGGCATAGTAATGGAATTGCATGCACTCGCGCCCTCCTCGTTCGTAGAGCTCCCTGCCCACTCTGCGCTGGTCCAGAAAAGCTGTTTGGCATCTCTGGCCTGCTGATTCCCACAAGGTACGGAAGGAAGGGTAGTGGAACCAGCCCAGCTTCTTGGGTGTCCAGCCCAGGTGCCTCATGAGTTGGGAGAAAGTCCGGGAATCTTCTTCGGCCGGGCCTTCGTGATCTGCCGCGTTGCGAAGCCAGGCCTTCATGGTGTTTTCTGAAGGACAAGGATGGCGTTGCACGAAAGCGGCGAGTTCTTGCTCTTCCCGAAGGACTTGGGCACGAAGCTCTGCGTCTAGCGGGAGAGGCTGACTCGGCTGCACGAAGATGCTTGGCCGTATCGGTTGCTTCGGGGATGTTGGCGGAGTGGGCATTGAAAAGCTTTCTTCGTCGCTGCTGCTGTCGGGATGGTCCCATCTGGTGTAATCGATTGCCGCCATCCTGCTACACAGCAAAACGCCCTGGTCTCGAAGGGCCTTACCTGCTTGATTCTCAAACCTTGGGCTGCAGCAGGCATGGGCAGCTCAATCCCTTGGGCTCTGGACTCAATCCAGAATTTTCACAAGCGCATGGACTAACGAGGACAGCTGCGCAGTACACTCCATTGTTGCCCGGCTCGGGGAAAGGTCGCGATGTAGCCGTAGCCGTTCTGTGAAACTGATGTTGTCTGCGGCTCTCACCGCCTGCGGCTGATTCAGGATCACTTCGGGCCCTGCAAGCAAGCTAGATTTCGTGATACAGCTCAGCCGAGTTGCGACCAGCGCAATACCTTGGCAGGCACATGCTGGCCTACGAAACGTAGGGAAAGGCTTGTGCGGACTCGAGGTTTTTGCGTTTAGATGCAGTCTGGAGGCGGCTTTCGCCTCATCCGGCGGCCTTAGCTTCGACCGGGAAATCGATGCAAGCATGGCACAAGCCTGACGCAAGCAAGCTCTTGACGTGGACGTGCTTGCTTGCAGCCGAGTTGCGACCAGAGCAATATGCCTTGGCAGGCACGTGTTGAGTCAATATGCAACGCATGATCATGTGCGACGTCGCCCTCGTACCTTGGCTTCGGAGGGGAACTCGATGCAAGCATGGCACAAGCCTGACGCAAGCACACTCTGGACGTGGACATGCTTGATTGCAGCCGAGTTGCGATCAGAGCCATGCCTTGGCGGACGCATGCTAGCCTACGAAACGTCGGGAAAGGCTTGTGCGGACTCGAGGTTTTTGCGTCTAGATGCAGTCTGGAAGCGGCTTTCGCCTCGTCCGACGACTGTTTCGGGCTCTCGCTGGACCTCTGGCGGGAACTGTTTCGGGCTCTCCTGGGGACTGTTTCGGGATTCCGCGGGGACTGTTTCAGACTATTTGGGGCTCTCGCGCGGACTGTTTCGGGCTCTCCTGGGGACCGTTTCGGGCTCTCGTGGGAACTGTTTCGGGCTCTGGCGGGGACTGTTTCGGGCTCTCCCAGGATTGTTTCGGGCTCTCGTGGGTACTGTTTCAAGTTCTCCCAGGATTGTTTCGGGCTCTGGTGGGGACTGTTTCGGGTTCTGGGCGGACTGTTTCGGCGTCTCGTGGCCGCGAAAGGTTTCCTTCTAACGCCCCAATAAGCGAAACACTTCTGCAAGAGGTTTATTTTCCTAACGCCCCAATAAGCGAAACAATTCTGCAAGAGATGTTCATTCCTTATAAAGCCCCAATAAGCGAAGTAATTCTGCCGGAAGTTTTCCTTCCTAACGCCCCAATAAGCGAAACAACTCTGCAAGCAATTCTCATTCCTAACCCCTAAAAACTCCTTGAAAGGCTTGTGCGGACTCGAGATTCTTTCGTCTAGATGCAGTCCGGAGGCGGCTCTCGCCTCGTTTGACAGCGCTGGTTGTACCTTGGCTTCGGCAAGGAAATCGATGCAAGCATCACGCAAGCACGACGCAAGCACGCTCTAGACGTGGACATGCTTATTTGCAGCCGAGTTGCGACCAGAGCAATACCTTGGCGGGCACATGTTGAGAGAGCGAAACCTTAAACCCTAGGACCCCTAAACCCTAAACCCTAGGGCCCTAAACCCTACGAAACCCTAAACCCTAGAACCCTAAACCTTCAACCCCAGGGCCTTAAACCCTACACCCTATGGCCCTAAACCCTCAGCCCGAGGGCCCGAACCGTAGCACCCTAGACCCTCAAAGAGAGGGCTTTCCTAAACCCAAAACCCTAGGGCCCTAAGCCGAAAACCCTCAACCCTAGACCCACCTAGGGCCCTAAACCTTGAAAACCCACAACTAGCACCTTCCCGAAAACCCACAAACCTAGCACCTTCCTAGACCCTAAACCCGAAACCTGAACCTTAAACCCTAGGATCCAAAACCCTAAACCCTGAGCTCGAAACCCTAAACCCTAGGACCCTGAACCCGCAACCCTGGTAAACCCTACACCCTAGCTAGGCTAAACCCTAGGGCCCTAAACCCTAAACCCTGGGGCCCGAAACCCTAAACCCTAGCACTCCAAACCCTCAACCCTTGGGCCCGAAACCCTAAACCTACAAGGCTAGGGACTGAAACCCTACAATCTAGGGCCCTAAACCCTAAACCTCCGGGCCTGACACCTAACCCTCAACCCTAGGGCCTTAAACTCTAGGGTCTCGGGCGCGAAACCATCAAATTTAGGACCTTCAACTCAACCCCAATCCCTACACCCAAGGGCCCCCAAACCCTAGATTTCTAGGAATTAGGACCCGAAACCCTCAACTTCAACCCTACACCCTGAACCCCTAAACCCTAAACCCTAAAACCGGAAACCTTAAACCCTAGAACCTTAAACTTAAACCTTCAACCCATCTTCATTCCTAAAGCCCCAACCAAGAAGCGAAGTAATTCTGCCAGAGGTTTTCCTTCCAAACGCCCCAGTAAGCGAAACAACTCTGCAAGCAAATTCTCATTCCCAACCCTTAAAACTCCTTGAAAGGCCAGGCGGCTCTCGCCTCATCTGACGGCGCTGATTGTACCTTGGCTTCGGCAAAGAAATCGATGCAAGCATCACGCAAGCATGACGCAAGCACACTCTAGACGTGGACATGCTTGTTTGCAGCCGAGTTGCGACCAGAGCAATACCTTGGCGGGCACATGTTGAGTTAACGTATATGTTGATCATGGGGAGTGTGAAGATCCTTGAAGGCACCCCCCGGATGGATGATTCATGGTGAATCCGGGATAGCCTTGTTTCAGAATGCCTTGTCAGAGAGTGTCCCTCAGTACACGCTCCTACTTCCGTAGCCCGTGCCGGATAAGAATGGCAGAGAGGCTTCACCTGTGCTGGGTTCGCCGACTTCGGAGGAGTCGACAGCCCGGTAGTAACGCGCACTCGCCATGCGAGTACACGCGTTCCCTTTAACAGGTTGGACGGAAGATCCCGGCCCGTGGCACTGAGGAACGAATCCTCGCGCAAAGCGCGGCCGTGGCACGCACCCCGAAAGTATGGCCGCAGCCTTTCGGAAATGCTCGGGAAAGCATCCTCGGCCTTTTTAGGTATGTGGAGGCCGCTTCGCTAGTCAATTGGCGCGTACAGCAGTCGCTGTAGTTCAACGCCATTACTAGCTTCCACAAGGACAGCAAGGATGCCCCCTTAGGGGGCGAGCGGAGCGTCCAGAAACGCACTGTGTGTACGGGGGGGGCCGGGGGGCCCAGATTGTCACTTTTGTCGGCGTTCACAAATTGGGAAAAGGACAAGACAGACTCGCGTGACAATCTGGAGGGCCGGCCCGTGTGTACATTTAGTCGCGCTTGTCCTTTTCGGAAAAGGACAAGCAGCCTAAATCCAGGATTTTGTGCATTTAGTCGTGCTTGTCCTTTTCGGAAAAGGACAAGCAGCTCTAAATCCAGGATTTTGAAGATTTAGTCGCGCTTGTCCTTTTCGGAAAAGGACAAGCAGCTCTAAATCCAGGATTTTGTGCATTTAGTCGCGCTTGTCCTTTTCGGAAAAGGACAACCAGCTCTAAATTCGAGATTTTCTATTTCTTGCCTCCGGAATTTTGGAAAATTGCTGG